GTATTTATCCTAGTTCATACAATAGCTACGTATGTACAGAATAATTGGAAATTATTGAAACAATTAACTACCAAATTCTTTCTTGATTACTCTAAACATGGTAGCCATATGCATGTGAATATACAAACATTTACAGCCTGTTTATGTATTTCGAAAGAAAGGTTTCTTTCGTTTTCAATGCGAATGAAAATCAATTTTGGTTCATATAAAAACTTTTTACAGGCAAAAGAAGTCGAACGATAAACAACTCGAAAGAAAACGTAAACGTATATTTTTTCTTTACAAATTGGGTTTATGTATGACGAAAAAGCTGTCATCATGCGAACGAGAATGTCATATTCACTCACTTGCTTTATAGCTTTCGAATGAATTACAAAATCGCGAATTATGTACCAAAATTTGAAGCTTTTTCACACAACACAATCTCTATACAAAATAAAAAATGTTGGAACATGTTTTATAGGTATCGCTTGGATTTTTCATTCATGTTTTTAGAAAATAAAATTGTACAAATACTGAAAATTTTCATTTGACAATTTTTTTTTTTTGGTTCAAATATGTGATTGTATTTGTGTAGTTTGTTCTCACTTCCCATTTGACTCTCATTTATTGAACATTGTTGTAAAACATTACATTTAATTTAGTAGTTTTTCGAATGGTATACGTAACGGCAAACGAACGATAGCTTTCGAAATACATGAACGCTTTTTTAAACGAAAGTGAGTGAGTTACTTTCTTTCGCATTGATTTTCGTTCGAAATAGAAAAACAGGCTGTTACTCTTGACACGAACTCTTTATTCGGTCCCAACTTCCTATTTCAAATTTTATTCTATTTTTGTTTTATCGAACTTGCTATAATCATACCAAACGCAACCTTTGTTGCAAATGAAAAAATAATATTTTCTTAGAAAATGTTCTTTTAATGTGGTTCCCCAAACGCCAGGCATAAAACCTACCAATTTCTTGACGGTCTACGATCCGAAACGACCCGAGTCTTACTCGGCCAACATCTGTCACCTCAGACCATTGTGTGACTTTGAAAAATGCTTTGAAATTGCATTTTACGCCCAAAACTGCTTGGCTAGATCGTTTAATAAATGGAAGAACATTGAGAGGGAATACTTCAATTGACGATGATTTTGGGCGCAATGTCTACGAGGTAAAACAATGACAGTGACAGAAGACAAGTATAGTAGACAACTATGTAGTCATGGTAGTATAGCTTTTTGTGGCCTCAAGTGTTAGTAAAGAGGCGAAATATTGGTCCTATACCTACCTTTTAGTATACCGATCGTCATATCTCGATTAGATCGGTGGGTCTAGATATGTGTGTTCGGCCGTATCTCCATTATAATTTGTAAACACGACACAGGCCAAAGTTATGGACCAATCGCCACGAAAATTTGCATGTAGGACGAGTTCTTGCCAAAGAAGATCGGTTAATATTTTGGGAATGAAACCAAGTACTATTACCACACTACAGGGCGGAAATTTAGCGCTGATGGCTTTTAGAGGAAAAATTAAATTTTTACTCCGGGAATACATTCGAAGAAGATGAGACAGTGGAGTTGTTGACCTCTAAACGGTCAAAAGAGTACATTAAAGAATACACATAAATATACGAGGACGGTTCAGGAACTTCTTAACCTATCAATGAAAGAGAATAGTTAATTTTTCTAAAATATTTTCATTTTTCAATATAATCTCCTGAAACTTCAATACACCTTGATTAAAATAGTTTTCCTCAAGGTCTTCAAAATAGTGGTTTACAACTGTAATTGCATCTTCATTTGAGGTAAAACCCTTGTCAGCAAGGATTTTTATTAGATTTTGGAACAAGTAAAAGACACTGAGAGCTAAATCAGAATAAAAAGATGGTTAAGCAAGTCGTACTTTAATTCGTTGATTTTAGCCATTGTTAAAACACTCTTGTGCGCTGGTGCGTTTGTGTTGTAAGCCAGGACGTTTTCCTCGAATTTTTACATTTAAATGATCCAAAAGGTTGCAATAGTAGTCTGAATTTATTGTTTTACACATTTTTAGATAGTCAATCAATAAAATACCTCTGAAGTCCCAATAAATCGTTGTCATAAAATTACCAGCCGTGCCTTTGGGGCACTTCCTCCAGCTTCTGTCCATTGTTTGGATTGTTCTTTTGTCTCTGAAGTATAGTGGTGGATCCATGTCACATCAATAGTTATGAAACGATGCTTAAAATCCATTTTATTTCGCTTAAAACGATCCAAAGAAGCCTGAGAAATGTTCATTCTTATGCGTTTTTGATCGACTGTTAAAAAATGCGGCACCCATCTTGCATAAAGCATTTTCATTTTCATAGTTTTTCATGCAAAATGAAATGGACTCGATCATTTGAGATGTCCATGATATTAGCAGTTGTGAAAAATTATCCCAAATTTAATTTTTAAATCACCAGTACACATGGTCGTACATCAAACCGGTCTGTGTACGTTTTTGCTAAAATATATTAAACTTACCAATGGAAATGTTAGGTGGCGACAGAAAAACAGTATGTCAAGAATCAGTTTAAACATTGAATAAATAACAATTTTGTTAGTAATAAGTGTTTCTTTATTCACATTATATCTATTTCAGTTTTAAAACAACAAAAAAATAACAAAAATATTCAATTTAACATAGTCAATTACAAGATATAAATGTTAAATTTATTGCATAGTGTAGTTTTATTTATTTATCTTTTTTTGTATAGCCGTCCTTGGCAATTACCACACATTGTTGACGTTTTTTCATCTAGTGGATTAACTTTCGCAAGTCTTAAAAGTTCCAATTTTTTTTGATACTTTTGTATTTTTTGGTAGCCGTTTATAATAAATAAATATAGGGTAAACGCACCTAATTCCGGCATGTACCAATAGTCGGCATCGTTTTTATATAACTTCAAATAACTAAAAAATCCTATAACTAAATATGAAAAATACCACAATACCACATTCCAGCGAATTCGGTTGAAAAACGCGCTCAAGAACCCCAAAATACCGTAAATTGGGGGTACCCTTATATGGAGGCTATCCGAAAAAATGGACCTATATTTATAATTTTTTGTGGAGAGATTTGGTACCTATTAAGAAATCAAAATATTAATTACAGCCAATCTGGTTGAAAAATACGATCAAAACCCCCAAAAAAATGAAAATTAGGAGGTACCGTTATGTGGGGGGGGGGGGGTGTTGTTACCAGAAAAAGTGGACCTATATTTATAATTTTTTGTGGAGACATTTAGAATCCAATAAGAACCCAATGTACCAAATTTCAACGTATTCGGTTGATAAACGCGCTCAAGAACCCCAAAATACCGAAAATTCGGGGGTACTGTTATATGGGAGCTATGCCTAAACGTGGATCGATATATCCCATCTTCGAACTTGACCTGCCTGCATTCCTTCAGAAGCTAGCGTGATTACAACAGACGGACGGACGGACATGGCTAGATCGTCTTAGAATTTTACCCTGATCAAGAATATATATACTTTATAGGGTCGAAAATGAATATTTCGATGAGTTACAAACGGAATGACAAAATTAATATACCCTCCATACTATGGTGGAGGGTATAAAAACAAATAAATATCAAAAATAATAAAAAAATGGTTTTATTTCTACATTTGAAAATATTTAATAAATAACCATGTGTAAACTCATTCTTGACATACTGTATATATAGTAGTCCTCGTAATTCTTGAAGATTACTATTTAACGACTCTGGCCAGTTCGATTGGTTTTCCTATGTATTTTTTTGATTATTTTTCCACACATATTTTCATTTGAGATTTTTTATATTATTGCTGGGAGGGAGATCAGCTTTTACTCGGCAAAAAATTACTCCTGCTGAAAAAAACGAACCGAACCTTTTTGTGGGTCAACTTAGGCTTAATGTAAATTATATAAGGATCAATAACTTTTATACAACCCCGAATGTATAATTTTTATCATTGGCGTAAAATTTAACCATACCATATCAGCACAAGAAATTCTCTATACGAAGATCTCCAGTAGCTTTTGTATAGATAGAAGACCATTTATAGGTCTCCTATAGATAAAAGGTCTTTTGAATGTGTTCGATAGGGAGAATACCTCTAATACGTCTACTACCAACTCTTTCAATTTTTGAGACTGTGTTTCGAAATGTTATCTTCCAGTTAGTCTTTCCATCAAAATGGCGATATTTATCGTCGAAGCAGATCGGTTCGTATATCTATCGGAAAATTTTTCTCTCAAACACTCTAAGAGCTGCCGCATCTGCTTTCGCAAGTACCTATGCTTTAGGTCCAAACAACAGAGTATGAGTTTGGTCTAGAGAGAGGTGACCTTGTTCCTAAACTGCATACTCAGATCATAGTAGCATCTGTTGTCCAATACTATTCTTCTCCGAATTTTAAAACGGATGTCATTAGTATTATTTATGGCGGTACCGAGGTAGTTTTCATTGTTGACCAATGAAAATGGACGTCTAATGGACGTTTTGCGCATAGATAATAAAAGCTTGGTCTTCTCGCAATTTACTGCCGGTCTCACATTGGCAGACTACTTCTCAATTCATTCAAATGTGAATGTTACCCCTCGAAATGTTCGACCGGCAAAATACCTTCTGTATTCAATATAACTTCCTGATGATAAAGTAAAATAAGTTCATCGCCGTTTGAACTCAAAGCCCTGAATTTATTGTGTTCATCTCAATATTTCTCTGTACTAGACGCATTCATCGCATTATCATTCAATGTTGTATTTGTTTTTTCTTCGGTAATAATAATTAATATTTTGGTCTGCTGTAGCCTGCTCTAGGTAGTTGGGCGGCCATCTATCGTTGCATAGAAATAATGCTCCTCGAATTTTGTGCTGTGGTTTGGGTCCGTGATTATTTTGTCTTGGCATATTGATGTTATATATTTTTATACAATGTGTAAACCAATTAATTCTATTTTATTTCATTTTTTAACCAACATTTTTTCATTTCAGTGAAAAAATGTCGTCGTCATCATCGCCATCCAACACTACTCTACCAAATAAAATACCGAGCGAAACAACTGAACTATTTGCAGGTTATTCCGATGAACTGCTTAACATAGCCACAATTGGTTGTATACTTTTTGTTGTTATTGGTGTGCCGGGTAATATATTGACCATATTTGCCCTATCACGAGGGAAACAGGTGAGTTGAAAGTGAAAATGAGATTTAAATTTTTATGCAAATTTTGAGTGCTGAACATTTTTTTCCTTTACAGAATCGAAATTCAACAGCAATGTTCATAATAAACCTTTCGGTATCCGATTTGCTGTTCGGTTGTTTCAATTTGCCCTTGGCCGCATCCACATTTCTACGACGAGCCTGGATCCATGGCGATCTCTTGTGTCGTCTATTTCCCTTGTTGCGTTATGGCCTATTGGCGGTATCGCTTTTCACCGTATCATTGATAACTATTAATCGTTATGTAATTATAGCACATCCGCGTCAATATACCAGGTGGGTACAACTGCGCTACGGGTTTGAAAAATTCAGTTGACAGTGAGATTCTCTCTTTTTAGGATTTATCAACGCCGCTATTTGGCCCTAATGGTTCTGGGTACATGGCTGCTGAGTTTCACCATTATGATACCCACTTGGCGTGGTATTTGGGGAAAATTCGGACTCGATATATCAATTGGTTCCTGCTCGATCTTACCTGGTGACAATGGCCATACGCCCAAGGAATTTCTCTTTGTTTTGGCATTTATGGTACCGTGTCTTTGCATTGTTTTCTGTTATGCACGAATTTTTTATTTGGTGCGAAAGGCAGCAATTCGGACAAGGGATCCGGCATCTAAGTCAACCCCCGCAACAATACGACCCAATGATTCAAAGACACAGTTAAATACTATTGCGGAAAAACAGAAGGCCAAGGAAATCGTAGCAAAAACCGAAGATGTGGCATTACGTCCATTTGGTGTCAACGAAGACATTGAGTACATCGATGTGAATTGCTCACTGGAAAATCTACCGATTTCTTATAAAAACGCCAATGCGAAAACGTCCAATGAAACAGATCCGGCATCGAGTTGTTCACAGGTATGTATATGTAGATGTTTTGCAAGTATGTGTTCGAAAGTGTTAACGTACCCCTTGAGTTTACTATATTTTTTTATTTTTGAAAATCGTCGTTAAAAGTCAGCTGGTTTCAATTTTTGAGTGAGATGGGCTTTAGACATTTGTAGGTGTAGATCACAATGTAAAAATACGCCATAATTTGCCTTAAGACCGCTGTGCCGCACCAGTTTCACTATGGCCCAGAGATATAATTATTTGGTCATAATTAGAGTTTAATATATATATATATATATATATATGAGGGTTTCGGGGACGCCGATTACGATGTTGTGCATGTGTGACCGTAATTTTTATAGATCCCCTTTTTGTAGAGATTACAAATGTAAAAGTGATTTTGAAAATCAATTAAATTAAATCCATAATTGTAAAGAATATCGAATAAAGTTACCCATTTCCCCTTCTGCGTGAACCATCACTTGGCTCGCTTTTATATGCCTTTTGAGCTGGGACATCTTCATCCATTCTCTCAAGATGGCCTAGCCAACATAGTCACTGAAGCTCGATCCGTCTGACTATGTCAATGTCCGAGAATATATGGTATCGCTCATGGTTCATTCGACGGCGATATTCACCATCGACGCAGATTGGCTTATAGATCTTGCGGAGAATTTTTCTCTCAAACACTCCAAGAGCTGCCTCATCTGCTTGCGCAAATACTAGAGTTGTACAGTTCACGAACGAACTAGTTCAAATGAACGATTCACTTAAAAGACCGATTGAACTAGGTCTTTCAAAGTCGTTCCTTTTAGTTCATTAAAAGAACGAACCGGAATAATTTTTCCTTTTAGTTCAAATGTGAGCGTTTTACTGACCTAAATGTAAAATATGTTGCCTATTATTTATGCCCGCAAGAATTTTTTTCAATAATTCTGAAACTTTTCTTTAAAAATCCACACCTTATAGATCCCCATAAACTGTTCTAATTTTTTTCTATATAATATCCTCACCATAAATAAGACAAAATTGTAAAATTGTTTTTATTCACACATCACAATCTTTCAAGAACACAAATTATCAACTGAACGATTCGGAGAGCCATGAACTATTAAAAGAACGACCGGAGTAAAACGACAGCTGAATAAAAGAGCTTAATTGTGAACGATTGAACTACTGAACTAGAAGACCGAACTAGTTCAGTCAAAAGAGCTGAACTAAAAAGAGCGATCAGCTAACTGAACTATATAGAATAACTCTTGCAAATACCCATGCTTCAGATCAATGCAAAAACACGGGTAATATCAGCGTCTTGTAGAGTGTGTGTTTGGTCTGGCGATAGGTGGGTTGCTTTTGAGTTACTTACTTAGACCATAGTAGCATATGTTGGGCAACACTATTCTCCTACGGATTTCAAAGCTGATGTTATTCGTTTTGTTTATGGCGGTACCGAGGTATATACAATCGTTCACTACCTCGAAGCTGTAGTTTTCAAGTTCCACAGTCTACTGGACGTCTTGCGCATTGATACCATCAGCTTGGTTTTCACGCCATTTACTACCAGTCCCACTTTGACAGACTCCTTCTCAATTCGTTCAAAGGTAGCTATTAACGCTTGCAATGTTCGACCCATTATGTCGATGTCGTCGGCTTAGGCGAGTAACATATGATGTTTGGTGTACAGAGTGACATTTCTGTTCACTTTTGCATCTTGTATGACCTTTTCCAGCAGGATGTTAAACAGGTCACACGACAGACTGTCACCTTGTCTGAATCCTCGTTCGGCATTGGAGGGCTTCGAAAGGTCCTTTCCGACTTTAATTGTTGACATTGTACCAGTCAAAGTTATCCTGCATAGCCGTAGTAATTTTTTAGGAATGCGAAACGCAGAAACCGCGGAACGGATAGGGCCGTCGAATGCGGCTTTATAGTCGGCAAATGGATGGAATGTGTCGATGTGTTTTTCGAGGGTTTTCCAGGATTTGACGCAGAGTGAAAATCTGGTCAATGGTGGATTTGCCAGACCTGAAGTCGCATTGGTATGATCCAATAATGTCATTGACCATTGGCTTCAGTATTTCACACAGCACGCTGGATAGCACTTTATATGCGATGGGAAGGAGACTTAAGGAGACTTTTGTGCGCGGGACACAGGATGCTGAGGTTCCAATCATTGGACATGCATTCCTATAGTCAAATTGTCAGCTGGTACATGCTCCTGACCAGCATCTGACCACCGGTCTTGAATAGTTCTGCTGGTAATTCAATGGCATCTGCTGATTTATTGTTCTTCAGACGATTAATAGCTAATCTGACCTCATCTTCACCGCCACTCTTGGATACGAGAAGCTTTTCAAAATACTCCTTCCAGATCCTCAGCACGCTATCTGTATCTGTCACCAGGTTTCCATCTTCATCTCTACAGTAGGATGTGCCTGCGCCAAAGCCTACTGTTTGGCGTTTTACTCTTTGGTAAACAGAATTATTAGACAAATCCTAACATATGCGTCTGGTGAGCAGCAATGGACAAAATGTCCATAAAAGATGCTGCATAGGTATATATGGGGCAATGAGCATAACACCTAATAGAGCTTTGGAGACTATATTGTATATACATCCACTTGACATCCAAATGAGATATGAAACAAACGCCGCATTTGAGATTTAAAGCTATGAACGAGTGGATCGATACCGGACATAATAGACCACAACAAAATATAGTGCAGCCCACAATCGGATCCTCAATTAGTAGTTTTGAGTCGGACCGAATATTTGAAATAAGAGTAGTCAAAACCTGATAAACTCTGATATCAGACAGGTGCTCATGGGATAGCGGAACACTAGCAAATATGCCCCCTAGTATTGTTGTTGCACAGATGGCTCCCAGCTAGCAGGAAAATCGGGACTGGAAGTTTTCATTGAAGAACGTAAAACCGAAATATCACTTCGTCTACCAGAACACAATACGATCCTACAGGAATAGGTTCAAGCTATAACGGAGTGTCTGAAATGAAACCCTGGTCAGGATAGAAAAAATATAATGACAGATAGTAAACAAGCCATTAAAACAATAATTCTAAAACAATTAGATCCAAAACTGTCTTAGAATGTATTAGAACCATAAATAATTTCTCGCGGCATGGTCATATGGGTACCAAGTAAAATGTGCAAGCGACGATCTACAATAGATGTAAATTATACCAAAATTTTTAGTGCAACGCGTCCCCACAAAATTCTTTGGAATAGCGAGGGGATTGGAAAAACACAAAACATCGACCTTAGGGGTCGACAATAAAATCCAAACATGACTTCTTCTTCTGAAATTTCTTTCGGTATGGCACCTAACACATTCTCAAAATGTTAACTATGTCCAAGACAAAACGGTGTAGCATTCCAACTCTCCTGATAAATCCACTTACCCATAACTGCACTATGGAGGCAGAGGCAGAGGCAAAAAAATATTACCCTTTTCCGCGTTTAAGTCAGAAATACGGAAATATTACATATTTTTATGTTATAGTTTAAAATAACATATTTGTGTATCTTTCAGGATACCGATAAATCCAATCAGTCACAACAAAAATCCAATAATATCCCAGCTAAGGAAACTACTTCTCGGTAAGTACCTAACACACACACACACTCACCCACTGTATTTTCATAATTTTTCCCTTTTAGAAATAAAAACCCCATTAAAACCTCCATAAGGACATCGTTCACCCGTTTCAGTCCACGTAAAAATCACTACGTTTCAATGGTCAATACATCGAATGCCTCGGCCATCTATCCCGGACGTATGAGCCAGAAAGATCGACGTCTGTTGAAAATGATTTTAGTCATATTCGTTTCGTTCGTAATTTGTTATTTACCAATAACGTTAACGAAAATCTGGAAAGGTTTATCCGATAATCATATTTTCAATATAAGTGGCTATTTGTTGGTTTATATGACGACATGTATAAATCCGATCATTTATGTGATGATGTCGTCCGAATACCGGCAAGCCTATTGGAATTTGTTGCGGTGTCGGTGTGAAGGCAATTCCTTGAATAAAGAATTCAATCGTAATCCGAAAACGTAACTTTTGTGAATTTTGTGCAATAGTTTTAAATTTAAGAAAAAAAGTTGGTATTTATATTTTTGAAATATTTATTTTATTTTTTGTAAATTTTTTATAAGAACTTCGTATACTACACAAACGCCATACATGAATGTTATAATAAATAAAATTATAAATACTAGAAACACACACAGACACACAAATTAATGTTATAGTGTTAATGGGAAGATGAAATTAACCCAAAAAATTGAAAAAAAATCATATTTTCTCTTATTTTTATTTATTTTATTTTTAATAAACCACTTTCTGTCATACTAGAATTTGTTTAATTTTGAAAATTCGTACGATCGATGTATTTTCGACCTAGTACATGAATTTCATTAAACGAGAGGACATTAACTACTATTAACAATAAATCAATTACGATTTATAAATAGAAACCATTTAAAATTCATTGTACTATATATAAGAAATTTAATTTTAAAATATTTATTGATAGATATTCATTGTATTACGTACTTCGAAGTTCGAAGAGCAATTGTATTTTTTCGAAATAGTTTAATGAACGGTTAAACATATTTCAGTTCATAGACTTACACTACAAATATTTAGCTGGGTTTAATACCAAAATGTTCCAATTCACAATTACATACCGAACAATCACAATAGCACGCAATTTAACATTGTTGGTTAGGACATAAACCAACAATGTAATCGATATGTGTTATCGATTCGATTGTTTTGATAATTATTATTAGACATAAACCTAATAATTGTCACATATGAATTCACAATGGTATGGAATAAAACGTTTGCGGAAACACCTACCTTATTCTATTCCATTTTGCATTTAGCTCATCCGCTTTCGAACATGTTGGACATAATCGCAATAGCACATAATTTATTAGCGCAGTTAAGACATAAACCAACAATAACACATCTGTTAATTAACGATTCAATTGCTTTTATGATTATTAGACATGAACCAAATTATTGATATATGAATTCAAAATCGAATAGAACGAAACATCTGACAACTACCTCTGCCAGTCAAAGCTTTTATAGTTTTTAAAGTTTTTTTATAATAAAATGCCCTAAGTGCATGTTAAGCAATGAATTAAATTTTATTTTTTTATATAAAATACTTATAATATTATAATTCAAGAAGCAGAGCAAGGTTAGCACTCATAACCTCTTGAATTTATCACAAGTATTTGGTAGCAGAGGTCCGAGGATCCGAACATTGCTCTGCTACCAAGTACTTATAATAAATTCAAGAGGTTTTGGGAAATAAAATAGCCATTCTAGATTATTTCAATGGGCTGGTAAATCAATACCAAAGCTTTTTAAGGTTTGTAACTTTGCATATATATATATGAAGATTTAAAGGAAAAGAAAAATAATTTACAAAATTGTTTTGTTTTTGTTTTTTTATTGTTTTATGGGATTAAAGAAAAGTCCTTTTTTTGATGGCGGGCATGATAACTCTTCACTGGATTATCGGAATCCGAAAATTCCAACGCCTATTAATGCGTTTAATTTTTTTTTCATGAGAAAACGTATTTCCCAAAGACCTATAGAAGGGTTTCTCTGCTGGAATGTATGGCTAGGTTAAACGGCATATACATTAGAACTTTTTACCGGGTTTACGTTTTTCTGATTTTTGTATCCCCCACACTTGAATTTATAATTCTGCTGTTTAGCATTTTATCTATCAACTACGTAAGGGTATCAGGAATGCCAACTTCTTATGGATTATGGTTTATGGATTCAAGTTTAACGTTGTTAGAAGTTCCCTCTATAATTAGGAAGGCGGCCATCGTAAAAGTTGAATTTTCCATATTCCTCTCAATGTAGCCAACCACCTCGTGCAGTGCAGATTCTACAGACTTGCCCTTTATGTATGTGTGTTGTGAGTTTCTAAAAGAGGTGGTGTCTATGCGACTCCTAATCTCCAGGTCGATCAGTCTTTCGAGAGTCTTGAGGAGAAAGGATGAGTGGCTTGGTTTCCCTGCTTTGGGAATGTACGTAACCTTTACCTCGTTCCAAAAATCCAGAATATACGATAGAGTCAAAGAAGCCCTATAGATCCCCTCAAGCATCACATATATATACATGGCGAGGCAAATTGAAGCATTTATACAGTTTGAATGTACTGACTGCCCATCGTATCTTATTTCTGTTAACCACCTTGCCAATTAGATTCACATCAGGAGTCGCAAAAGGTTGAGTGTCATCACGTTCACCGTCGATGGTACCCATATCTTTGCAACCTGGGAAATGAGTCTTAGCTAGGAGATTAAGAGTCTCAGAACCTGAGTCCGTCCACTCTCCATCCTGCTTCTTGATACTTCCGATGGACTTCGGATCCTTGGATAGTAATCTTCGAAACCTAGCAGCGTCGTTGACTCCTTCTATCGACTCACAGAAACTTATCCAAGACTTTTTCTTTGCGCGTTTTATCTCACTCTTGTATTTGTTGAAACTAGTTCTGTAGGAGTTCCAATCAATATCGAGTTTAGATTTATACGCCCTCTTGTACAGTAGTCTGGTCGCATTTCTGAGTTCACCAAGTTCCTTGTTCCACCACACTGGCTGAGACTTTTTCCCAGGGTATGTGAGCGGACAGGATTCCTTATGGCATCTAAGCAGAACGTCCGTTAGTTTGTTCACGGCCCCATTGAGTTCCACAGTTGTTCCTAAGTTTGTATTAAGAGTCAGCTGGGAGTTCGTTACCTCCGTGAATTTCTTCCAGTTTGTTCTCCTTGGATTCCGATAAGGTTGTTGTTTACCTCCGTCAAAAGAGACCTCGAAGAAAATCTTTAAATGATCCGAAAAGGAATTTTCGAATTTTCAAAAACCCTTTTGTACACATTTCTAACATTCCATCAGTGACCCACATTCCAAACATTCCAATTTCAACCTATAGCCGTTTCGTCTGGGCGATGATCTGTCATTCACTCAATCATCACTCACTTACCAAAAATGTTCAACAATTTGTTTATTTTTTCCAATAATTTATTAGTATTTTGTTTTCATTGTAATTGATTTGTTGTTTTTATTTTTGTTTTTATTCATCATTTTAATTGTTTTGTAATATTAAAGTGTATAAATGCATTTGAATAATTGATATTTGTTATTATTTCATGTTTTAATTTATGTCATAATTAATAATAAACAATTGTTTTATTTATTGTTTGCATTATTATTGTTTAGTATGTTTATTTATTTATTTATTTTTTGTTTTTAATATAATAATAAATGTTCAGTATAATAATTATAATATTATTGTTATCGTTCGTAATTTTTTCCTCAATGCTAATCAAAAAATTTAACTAGAATTTAGTAACACAACTATGTTTCATTGTTTGCAAGTAATTTATGGGCAAATGCTGGCCATTTTGCTTTTATCATTTTTTGTTATTATTTTTAAATAATTTTCGCCAATCTATTGCAATTGATTTAGTCTAAGCCTATTTTAGTTTATAAAGTTATAAATTTTATTTAGAGCGGGTGTAATAGGAAAATCCTATCATTATTGTTTTTTTTTCTTTAATTTTCAGACATTGAAATAGTCTAAACCGGAAATTTGTTTTTTTTTTATTTCATTGAGCTTGAAAAAATCTAAATTTTAGTTTAGACGTATGTAACAGAATATCTATTAATTGTTTTGTTTATATTCAGTATTCAGCTTCATCCTACTATGATGATAACTTTCGAAGGGTCAACGGTTTGTTGCAATACTCAGAATATAGCCGAAAATCCAAAAATATTCGATTGTAAAGATTATACTTTTGGTTTGGTTTTAGTTACTATTTTATTTTTTTATGTTAGCTATTTGAGTCTAGTTTGTGTTTTTTTTAAGGGGGGATATTTAACGATTCTAGTCGATTCTATACTAATTAACAGATTGATTAAAAATATGTCGCTGTGGGAAAGATTGATGATGTGTACATTATTTGATTATCATTTTGTTGTCGTACTATGCGTTGTAAGTATGTATGTATGTATGTATGTATTGTGTCGTTTATATGCTACATTCGATTCATGTAACTGACTCAAAGGTTATCAGTTCCATGAACTCTATACAACATTTAAATCGCATATATGTTCTGTATGTGTGTATATGAACTGATTGATGTATGTAGGAATATAGTGCAATGGATTTCATTTCTATGTATATATATATATATCTGTATACTTGACTATATATTATTGTACATTGGAATGTAATTTGTTATTGGAGTTTATTAAATACATAATTGATTTGTATATTTATTGTATATATGTATGTATGTAGGTGAATATTTTAGAAGCTTAACAAGAAATTTAAAGCTGAATTTAAAATAAGCCCATGGCGCACTCAGAGTAATAAAAAGGAAAGTTCTTTCAAATTAAATTCGAATAAAAAAAAGAAGTAAGCTCGTACCTACCCTTGGATTTATGGAATCAACATTTATCACATTAAATCAAGCATTAATGATATGATTATCTTGTAATGCCTTGACTTTCAAAATATGTTAATGAAGGATAAATAAATATAAAATTTCTCCTTTCAGTCAAATATAAATTTGTTTTAAGATTTCATAATTTTTATTGAGAATTCCTGGTAATGAAAACTCTTGGAAGTGAATGAAGACTAATACAAATGTACCGTGACCTTATACCCAGTTCAGACCCTGGACATTCTAACACGCTCTCACACGCTTACGCTCGATTTGGTTTAGATTTAGCAATACAGTTGCAGAGATGCAGCGTATCATGAGTCCACACACAGGGAATGTCTTTTGGTTGTGCCCACTACGAATTGAGGCGACTGACCCTCCTGATCTTTATTGTGCCAAAAACACTCTCGTTTGTCTAGACAGCTGTCGTTCGTCTGTTGCCATTGGTGGTGGGTGGACTCCAAGAACTGCAGCATGGGTCACTGATTCCGTGTGAATGCTAGTAATTCCTTTTCGATAAGCCTGTTGATATAGTGTTCTCTCTTATATCGTTGGTCCTCTCTCTCTAGATCATAT